GTGGTGGTGGTGGTGGTGGTGGCGATGCTTCTGGCAGTGGTGTGGGCGGCCGGCTAGACCTGTTAAAACCTTATTGAGTCTAAAGATGTCCAGCGAAATCGATCTGTACCCTGACCGTCCTTTGACAATGTCGGCACAATGGCAGGGATTGGGTGCTTCTGTTGGCGGTCCACAGTACTTGAGTCTCGCGAGCAGCTCTTTTTGCCCCGAAAAGGGTCGTCCCAGTCTTTACGCCAACGCGTCATGCCTGCCAGTTATATTCAAGGAGGTTGCAGGGCCTCAGGGTTGATTTGCAGGTGCTTTAGTGAAGTCTTGAGAGCGTCTGAGCAGCGTTGCCCTCTTCTGACCTGTCGTGCGATACCGTAAGAGACGTCATTTTGCAATAATCGACTGAATAGGTACTCGTCGTCCATCCTCACGAAATGGTCGCCCCAGCGCAGTTGCATATTGCACAGCATGGGGCAGATATTGAGGACGCCAGTTATATCCATGATTTCGGTGCGTTACACTTTTTTCCTGACACATTTCATTCAGAATTCTTTGGAGGCCTTCATGGACTGCTCATGTCTCCATCTCGTCGAGAAGAATGCCGCGGATGCATAAGGAGATCCGAATTGGAGATTCGTTCTTGATCTGAATTTTTTTTGTGATTGTTCATACATCCCATGTACTCGAAGTTGTCCAATAGCAAGAGAACAGTTCATCTTGCATTAAGCCTGGGCTTTTTCTGTCATCGTATGGCTCCGGTTGAGGTGCGATCTTTGCATGTCCCCGCTAACTGTCAGTATCAAGCTGTAGTAATCGGAGAAAAGGCGCTTTACTTTGCTTAGCGCGCCTATTTACTTTGTTTTATTTAGTTCACGGTCATCCGAATATAGGAGATCCTGGACTGCGGCTCTGAAAGCTCTCGAATGCTTAGCAGTTGGCTATTGGCTCGGTGGTTTATGTGGATTCCCGGACGCTACTCGCGGTAGGCGCTCAGCAGCATAACGTAAACATGAGAATGAAGAGGGTAAAATTAGAGGAGTTGTTTGATGCGCTTTTCTCAGATTATGGAGGAAAACTTAAGGATGCTCCTGAAGGTGTCGGCTCAGCTCTCCAGATCTGTGACTTCTGCGATAGTATGTCTTTGTTGTCTTGGCCTAGCAGTGGTGCCGCCTCTTTGGCTTAGGGGCCGTAGACTGTTTTGATGGCCACAAAGCCGTTAGTTATCTCACAGCGATCGGTCTATCCTTCGACTTCTTCAGCACTGTGTACAATCTCAGCAATCTACATCTACCAAAGTCCCTCCCGCAGTGGGTGTCGACATCGGAAGAAGGCGATCTCTTTGACGTCGATTCTACGGTTGACCGGAGACTCAGATGTTGGTTTTCCTAGTTGTTGTCGTTGAACCGGTCCCAGTGATGTCGGTGTGCAAGACCGCAGACTTCCATCGCGATGGTCTGTTGGGCATTCTGGAGTTCCTTTCATCGAGTGTCAGTGGAATTGTAGTTGTTCCCACTTGAGATTTATGTGATAGTTAAAGTGTAATCGGCACAGTTCTTAGAGGAACATGTCGGCGTAACTTTCCTGTCAATGCAATCCCTGGCGTCTTTTGATGCTACTCCTCCTTCTGCGTTCATTCGCCAGGATCTGGCAGCCGAGGCCATTGAATACTTCTCTTGAACAAGTGCGATGAAACAGGGAGCCGCGTCGGACACACCCAACTCCTCCAACTTCCAAGGTTCTGTCTCTAAACCTAATTCATGTTCGGCCGAACAATCGACGAGCAATGGAGGGATGCCCCAAAGTGTCCACTGATTCTTAAACCCAGCCTTAATGTTATTGAAACAGTTGGAATCACTGGCCTTCCAACATCACTGACTAAATTTATGGGATTGTTACGCGGATGATGCCTTTGTTGTCATCGAGCAACATCAGATGTCGGCATTCAAAGAACATCTCGACACCGTCTTTTGGGGAGCATAGCATTTACGACTGACATTGATGATGTGCGCTAGTCTACCACAAAGATTGCGGTGGTTTAAAAAATGAGGTGCCCAGTACGACGACAATTACGACGAACTTCATTGGCAACCATCAGATCAGTCACAAATTCACTTGTGTAAAGGCGTAATACCGGCGTGTTGAGGCGCACTTCAGTGAACCGGAAAACACGGTCACTTAATTGCAATACCTTCGATGTGTGCCCCAACAGGATGAATACTTCAACAATTGGGCATGATCTTATTTCGTAGCCGTACCTGTTAGGGGCTAGGGTTAGGGATTGGGGGTTAGTGGTTATGGGTTAGGAGTTAGGGTTAGCGGTTGGCGTCAGGGTGGTAAATGTTAGGGTAAGGGATTAGAGTTAGGGGTTGGGGTTGAACCCCTATTACCCCTGGTTCCGTATGAGAGGCGGATGGGGCTTGCCTACGGCAGGTACGGCTATAAAATAAGACCCGACCAAAACAATTTTATTAATCAATGCATGCAAAAATGAAACGACAGCTCAAATCCCGCTTCTCCCTAATTGTAATGAAGGCTCTCTTTTGCCATGAACTCCTCGGAACTCGGCAGAATCTTTATCATGTCGTTCACGCCATGCAGACCGGAAGTAACCATCAGGCGCTCCGTGTTGACATCGAAAGACCCACCGTAAGAGCGAGACGCGTCTGGAGTTCATTGTTCTGCATCTAGTGCGACTGAAAGCAAAGCAATTATGTACGTCGGAGAATCAGGAGGGCTACTCCCGACGTGGGTGGCCAAGCGCGTATCAGCAGTGGGGGGAGGTATGGCGCCAGTTGTCAAGTCGCGCCTCGATCGATTGGTCCGACCCAATCACACCTTTTTGCTCCGAAATACTTGCACGAGCTAACAGTCACTGGGTTTTCCGCTTTTAAGTACGCCAGCAAGCAGCAGTATAATCTCTTTTCCCTTCTCTACTTTTAGTGCTCATAATTTGACTGGACTGAGTAGACAGTCACGTGCGGAACGGGTGGGTGAATAGGGCTTCAACATGTCCAGGCTAGTATGTACGCGAATGACAGACGACTCGGATGGGACCGAAACCAATAATGACTCTAGTGCACGCGAACAAGCCATTATTGCAGCAAGTACGTACGTCTGCGATGGACGTTGGAGTCGACAACTAAGTACAGTAGGCAAAGTTGAGAGATCCGGGTTGATGCAACCTAAGGACCCATTGCCACCCGCTGAAATGGCAACAGTCATCTACAAAATAAATTGCAATGAGGGCGACTGCAACTATGTAGGAAAATCCTGGCGGAAACTGCAAACTCGCCTACAAGAGCACAAATCGGCCACTTTGAGGTTAGACCCTAACTCTCCATTAGCAACACACGTTGGAGAAGCAGGGCATACTTTTGACCTCCAGAGGGCTACCATCCTAGGCCGAGGCAACACAAAAGCAGAACGGCTAACACTCCAGGCGTGGTTCTCCGATGCCCACTCCATCAACAGGCATCTGGACCTTCCTGCAGCTTACAAAGTCCAACTTTGTCACAATCATAGAGGTCAGTACCAAACAGCCACACGGGAATTAAGAAGGCCGTACGGAGATAGCCTGACGCTGAGTTTACTCGGTGAGGAAGAACAAGAACCGCCAGACCGACCACTCGACAAAGGTTCAATCAGCTCCCCTCAACGGAGTGGTGACTCACAAAGCACACCTGCAAAACGCCCGTCAACCATCGCCCAAGAGGCCGAGGCAGCGAGAGGAGAGAAAAATCGATCAGCATGAGACCGACTAACACAACATGCCACTTTAAATTAAATTTCTGATCGATCAAGTGTATTTTACGCTTTGACAATGGAGAACCGACCAATCTCTTTGAAACGTCAGCATTTAAATAAACCTGCTCCGGAGAGCCTATCTTCTTCTTTTTCTTCCTCAAATTAGTACATTAGGTGCGATAACTCCATGAAATATCATGATTTATCACAGGAAAATCCCTGCTACGCAAAGTCCATCCCAACTGCGTTCCCCTCAAAGTCTTGTAGCAGTGAAAAACGACCGTTCTTAGAAAGTAGGCATGTTTGGGTTTATAAATTAATATTCGCTAACGTGGAAACAACTAGTTTTCACGGAAAACTACCATTTCAGAAAATGGATGTATTACAAATCGCTTAAGTAGGGCCAACTATAAGAGTGCATAAGGAAAATAATGACAGGTGCAAAAGATCAGTACTTTATTGATTGACCACTTGCATTTATCACAACAGAAAGTATCTACGACATGGAGATGTCCAGGTTGTGTATAGTAAATTATTCAATGTGATTAACTAGCACAGAACCATGCTTCTTGCATTGAATGCTTCTTGTTCGTCTTGTGCCTATGTCTTTTGATAAGCACGAAAAGATTTTTGATAGGACTGAGATCCAGACTGTTGGCAGGGATAGAAATCGATTGGAGACCACATGCGGAGAGACTGGCCGTTGTTGAAAAGTCAGATTATGGTTGAAAGCATTATCAGACTCATACTTCTTTGGAACGATGAACAGGGCATTGTCGCGTAGAATTATGGTATCAAATTAGCGCCGATGGAGGTTGTTGTAATCAGTGTTGACGAACACCTAGTTGCTGATGGTGTTCGTAGTTGACCGCCGGACTAGCCGCTCTCCGAATTTAATAACTGCCCAAACCACTAACCACCGGCGGTTCTTGAAGGTTGCCGTCGGCATAGTATGCTCTTTAGGAAAGTTCTTTCCGCCTATGACCATCTGGGTCGACTTTGTAGGGCTGTCTAAAAATAAACCTCATCTCAGAAGTAAATGCTCTTTCAGTATGAGGTCCGGAAATCAATATATTTCTTAGCAAATAAAAAAACGTTTTCTGATACGTTTTCTACTTAAAGACGGCTTGGCCGTGGCCATTTGGTGACGAAGCTCAAACTCCCGCATCCTTTTTCTAATTATGTTCATGGAGAACATCGGCAGATGTTCCCTGTGAATGGTCTTAGTTGGCATATAATGATACGCTTTTAATGCATGACGAATAAAATCGTCGTCTTGCTTACTTGTGGGCTGTTTTGGTACACCCTGCATATCTCTAGCCACGGTTCCATCATTAAGTACTCACTACAGTGTAACCTTACAAATCTTAAAAATACTTGCCAGTGGCCTATGCGACAATCCCTCTGCTGCTAATCTCCTTATCTCCTCGTAGTCGACTGCTGATAGAAAGTGCCTTGACATTTTTATTGCACGGCGTGACAGAGAAAAGTGACGGCACATCGTGGGTACACAATGTACATTTCTTTACGTCTAACAATTCTCGGTGTGGCAAAATAAGCTACTGTCAAGCGACTTTATTGCTTTGTTTTATGTCACGAAACGCCATAAATTTACAAAACAGAATTTTATAATCTGAATTCCCCCCTTTTTGGAGACAATCAATTTTCTCCTACCCGCCTTTACCTGATTTTCATGGAAATAATATCGAACTTTCCGTTCCCAGAAGGGATTTATTTGATACTTTTCCTGTTTATATTAGCCACTGTCTACAGCACAATACGCATAAACAATAGAGTTTGGTCTGTGAATTTCAATAGCATAAGAAATCTCCTGGATATCAAGAAAGGTCAGATTTCACCCAAATCTGGCCTGTTTTCCTTTAATAAGACTAAGTTGAAGTGAATCCCCCTTCAATAAATGGCTTTCTAAAGTCAATTCAAAAAACACAAATAAAAATACCAAATGTATGACTTATTTTTCACTCACATTTCGATCACGACATTTCATGAGCTAGACCACCAACTGGGGGCGTGTGGTTATACAGCCACTGACCGTCGCATCCCACGATGTCCACTGTGTGCCCCACAGCAATGTGAAGCAGGCACGGTAACTTGCCTGTCAATGAGTTTATAGTCAATGCCGACTTGAGCTGCATCTGCCGCACTCTCCCCTCCTCCCCCACCTGTGTCTGGTGTCAAGACAGAGTCAAGAAAACCGGAGACGGTGGAGGGCGCAGGTGGATGGCACGACCGAGCCCGCACCTAGGCGCTCCATTCCACACCTCCTGGTTCACTCAACAAACACTTGACCAGGATTTTGACCAACAACACAACAAAAACAACAGAACAACAGAAAAGACGATGACTGGGCAGCCATACACACGACCTTTATACCCAGCGGAAGCGCACGCGAATCTACCGACAGGAAACCAGGTGTCAGAAAACTGCCGCCGCATATCAGGCTGCGAGGGCCATGGTTTGCTGATACTGGCACAGCACACACTCACAAACCTTGGCACTTTACTACATAAATACTGTCGCCTCCTGTGTTACTGGCTCCGATGATGCATTCATAACTGAAGTTAACATCTTGCCGGCAACCTGCACATTTGAGTGGTATGCATTTTAAGTCGGATTTGAGAGGTCCTCTACCTCCAATAACTGTTTCATGGGAGGATGCGCGAAGACTTCACCCCATACACTCATTTTGCGGGAAGTTATAGCCGCAGTGATTGCGCTATCTCATGGAATATTGGCCGAAATTCGGAAGTGCGTTTCCGATCTGAACCGGCAAATTACATAGGGTTTTTAGATCAATGATCGTGCAGCATAATCCCGAGGAATTTCAGTCCAGGCCGGGTCTCGGCCTTTGAATGACCCTGTTTCCTGAAGTCCGCAAAAACCCCACTCTGAAAAAATTGGTTATTCAAATAGTGTGCACTTTTCTCATTGATTTTCGATGTCCTTGCAAATTCAAATAAATTTTATGGAAAAGATCACAAAAGTGCCCGGTATTTTGCTCATATGATGGCAAATTACGTTTTCTTTAGGTTTTTTATTCTAATAATGGATGCTACCGCTTTTAATAAAGTCGCTAAAATGTAATTTTTAAGACCGTGAAATGGCCATTCACAAAGTATCATATCTCTGTATTTATTAATGCCGTTTACAAAGTATGCAATATAATTCAAGTCAACCACAAAATTCCATAAATCCCATACGGTACCTTCTTAATGGTGTGCAGAAATTAATGATTTTCCGGGCATGGAGTATATGAAGCCTGTAGTTCGGTAACCCAGCTTGCATGTGTAACGCCAGGTCGGGTCCACATTTGTTCAGGGAATAAAAAATTGTTTAAGACCCAGTTATACTCTTTCTTTAAGCTCCAACCCTAAAGAAAACGTTGTTTTCTGCCAGAAGAGAAGAAGAAAAGACATTTTTTACATTTTTCTACAAAATACACTTGAATTTATAAGGGCATCGGAAATTAATGGGAAAAGTTATGCTACTTAAATAGCCGTTGTTTGCAGAATGCAGTTTTTGCAGACGACCGGAAGCAAGCCCATTTAAAAGCAAGATAATTGAAAATACAACCCTGCAAGGGTAATCTTCTCGAGTCAAAAACACGTTTCAGACTTCCGACTAACATTTCACGGAATAGTCTGTAGTTATTCCTATGGTGGGAGTGCCTCCATCGACCAAGTTACCCGACGTGCTTGTTCAGTTTCGTCTTGCGACTAAATTTAGAGTTCTTACAGAAAATCCCATAGCAAAACGTAAGGTAAGCTGTTAATATGCATATTTCCCCCACTAGCACATTGACGGAGGAGCACCTCTAACACGGGAACGGTGAGAAAAAGGGGTTTTACGGATGAGGAGTTGACGTCCTTACCGAAAGCTTATTGGCCATCCTGTTTCCGGATCAGTTGCTTAACCTCTGCCCGAAAATAAGCATGTATCACTTCCTTCATGCAGCCGCGCGATTTCCTACTGACGGCATTTTATACTACGTATGATTAGATTCGGAATTAATAAATACATCAAAACAGGCATGTGACCCACATAATTTCAGCCGTATAGGCCCCACCCATGAAACCCCTTTAAAGGGCATTCCCATGTTAGATATGGTCTTGCGCCAAACGGTTGCGAATTTTTATGTATTCACGTTCAATCAAAAGTAATTATGCAATAATTTTGTAATCGATAGGACAACGGGTTCGTGGCCCAATGATAGCGCGCTGGACTATGCAAAGTTTGCTGGCCAAACAGCATGGGTTCGAATCCCAAATGCGCCAGACCTGACGTTGAGCAAGGCTGGATGGCAACCGTTAACAAGGCAGAAATGGCCATCCAAGTCCCATCCGTATTCTGCATTCTGCATAATTACCTATTACTCCATGCTCCGAAACGCCACCTGCGCTATTGCGAGTTCCATATGCTTTTCAAACTGCATTCGACTATTTATTCCAAAACCAATGCATGCATTCCTTCCAGCCGGACAGTCCTACTGATGCTCCATTGAAGAGTTCCCATTACTCGTAAAGTAATTCAGTAGATGCGGACAGTGTTGTATGCCATGACGGCAGCGTTATTAGGCTTTCTAAACTAGACAGCACATAAATGTTAGAGTGTACCAGCAGACCATAAAGACGTTCGTTTCATAACTGGAATGCACAACCATACCTCAGATGACATATAAGAAGAAAACGTAACCTTTCACAAGATGGAAATGAAAAGGAATTGACCGAGCATGCATGCTGCCTACCAATAAGCAAGGGGGAGCGCACGCCGCTCAAGAAGGACACTATCGATCCATCCTGTTCACATTCTCCCCGTGCATTCACTCCACACATCAGCCTAGTCGGTCGCTTACGGATCCATCTCACAGAGACTGGCGAGTCAGTACCTGGAGTACCAGCCTACACTCGCCTCATCCGCCTCCACTTTCCCGCACTCATCGCACGGGTCTATTAGGAAATATACGCATTCACGAAAACCTGCGGTAGACGACCGCTGGCTACACCGCAGCGTCACATCTCCCCCCACCAAACAACACCATCACCCATCACAAACATCCAACTGCCATCTCCAATGAAAGTGGGAAGTGTGCTTCTCGACTCCTTCTCCATGCGGCTCCTCTGCACCATGTGAGATCCCAGTTTGAGGTTCTCAGGGTGCGCCAAGCGCCGTGGTAGGGGGGGCTGCCGACTGACGCCCCAGCTCAGTCCACGCAGTCTGACCAGTCGTGCGTGCTTGTGTGGAGCGGCAGGCTGGTGGGCTGGAAGCCAGGCTCCATCCAAAGTGACCTGTGACACTCACGCATGTGACGAGTGCGTGCGTGCTTTATGAGTAGTGCCTCTCAGTCAGCGACTGTTTGTATATTCCCGATCGAAAACCGACAGGGCAACGGGCTCGTGGCCCAGTGGTTAGAGGCGGGGACTTCTAAATAACAGGTCGCGAGTTTGAGCCTCGGGTGTTCCACACTTCGGGGTTGGGTATGATCGGCTGACGACGGCTAATAAGCCAGAAATGGCCATTCCAGTCTCCCTTGTCTTTGTCAGTAATGTCATTCTACTGTTTGGTTACCCAGCCTTGAAGGGTGACGGCCCAGGCAAATGCAGGGCCACGTGTCACATCGCTATGGGACACTCAGTGGACATCGTCGGCAACTACGATCAAACTGTCGGAAGTAGGACAAGTTCCTTGTCAATGCCATCCATTCAGGCGGCTGGTAATATGTTCAGCCATAGCCCAACATACTTGATATTATGTTTCATGTTACTCAGTGTTGCAGCTTCTTTTAGGTACACTTTCCTACTTAACGGTCAGTGGGACTTGCTTTCAAAAAGGGGCACGCGTGAGAGGGCAGCAGAGGAACTAAATGACACCACGACATGCTGTAACCAGCCTTCGCAGAGTCCGCGCATTTCGTAAAAAGCGCCGCACTTGGACGAACGTAGTGGCATGCCGCGCCAAATACCTACGCCCAATTTTGCATCAAATGGCTGACTGGCTGGGACAGTGGACTGGTGCCTGGGGGAGAGAGAGAAGAGAGTGTGGTCGTCCCCACGGCATTCACTACATGTTCCCCACTATAAATAATCTGACGCATTCCTAAAAACTATCAAGGTGCGGCGAACGTTGTGGTTTGCAAGGTCGTCAGCTGAGGGGATAGCCCGGTACTCCTCTCAGGACGGAGATTCAGGCCGCAGTGACTCTTAATACTGCTCAAGTGAGATCCGAGTTCCCTTGCTTTCGCGAAAGCCCAATCCTTCATGACAGAGCCAGACGTGTGCGGCACATGTAGACGAGTTTTTTTGACTTCATCGGTCACCGCACCCGAGCCCGCCTCCCGTCCTACTGATTCTGTCTTGTCACCGGTCCCGAATGGGCATGGGAGGAGGTGCGGCGGAGGCTGTGCAAGTCACCCCTCCCCGCGTCCGCCATACTGTAGGCGCAATCTCGGTCAGATGTGTTTATGCAACCGCACCTGAAGTAAACAAACCCCAGCCACCCGTAATACGAGACCGGTTGTAATGAGGGCTTTTACAGGTGGGACCGGGGGACACACAGACGACGAGGTCAAGTAGTTGTAAGCAAAAGAAAAGCTATTGGGAATGCGCGGCTGTAATTCGAGTGGTTGAGCAATAATTGTCCTGACCCCTAACCCTAACTCCTAGTTATAACCCACAATCCTAAACCTCCACCCCGAACTATAACTCCTAGCCCTAGACCCTAATCATAAACCCTAATCCTAACCCTTAAGCAAAACCCCAGTAGTATTGTGTCCATCTAGTGGGGCTGCCCAAACCACATCTTACCCAAATGTAAACTAACAGAAGACAATTAGGAAATCAGGATTGGAACCCCGGTTTTCCTTGCCATTGTTTGACCGTCGTGACCGACAATGCCACCGTGTGCTCCATAGCAGGGTGAGAGCAGGCACGCTGACTTGTACATGGTGACCCTTAACCCTAATCCCAGCCTCAACCCCTAACTCTAGCTCTAGCGCCTACCCATGACCTCTAGCCCCAACCCCAACAGTATTGTGTTCATCAGGTGGTGCTACATAACCACATCTTACCACGGTCTCTCTCGATGGGTGAACTGCCGTGTCATTTAACGGAACGCGTCAGGATTCCAGTCTGTGTTTAATGAGCCTCAGTTACCGATACGTCTGAAACGACAGGCCAATTGCTTGCTGACTGACAGGTGTCATTTACATTCTTTCAGCAGCCAGTTGAAAAAAAATTTTGATTCAGGCTTATGGACAGGCGTTCGACTTCACAAATTATGCTCGTGGACTCACTCAGCGCATAGTGTGGTAGGCGTGCCGATAGTGAACATTTGCGTGGGGGGGAGGGACTGTATGCACGTAAAAACTGTCAGTCGTCGGGCCATGCGTGCGTCCCCGTGGTGCAGGCGGTCTGTTGGGCTGTCAATATCAACTTGCGTGCAGTAAACAAGCACTGTGCAGCTTCGTACCAAAGTCTACCTACATGCATTTATTTATGCTACAGGATTTCTGTCAGCTGAGGCAGGGCCTGATCCTCGGGTGTGAGCTGACGCTTGCACGGAATGACGAAAATGAAACTCACACTGACTACTGTGAGCCAGTAGGTTTCTAGAGTGTTGGGAATCTATCCGCCGAATGATTCCGCCTGTAAAAGGCTTCGGCCATCTGAAACAGTCATTTATTTGGGTCACATTTCATGCGTGAGTATGTAGCGGCCAGGCGATGAGAGTAAGTGCCCGGTGCACTACAATCATCAATTCAAATTCCATGTTGGAAGGAGAAGACAGAAGGCACCAGAATGAGGGGTTTATTGTGCGCAGGACCCGTAGTTGTCCTCTCAGGTGGTATTGGCCACTGGAAAAGTCAGAGCTGGTGTTGACTGCGTCCCGTCACGCCCGAGAGTCTCTGGGACAGTGGTGGCAGCCGCTTTTGTAGGCTCGTGGGCCAAACTCAAGTGGTCTCCAAACGGTGTGTGTTACGTTTCCCGAGGGGTGGTGTCCCAGCGGCTTAGCTTGTGGTTGCAGGGGAGAAGGTGCGTTCAAGTGACCGCACGGGCAGCTGCGACTATGTGGACGCAGGTATGTTCGAGCTGAAATCAGTCCACTGGCTGCAGGTCAGCGTGTCTGGAACGGCTCACACCAAGGGGTGAATGATCTTGAGACGGCAAGGCCTTGGACAATGACGCTGGACTGTCCATTATGGCTGCCCGCAACAGGTATGCCACTCATACGGGGTGGATTTGCTGGACTAACACGGGAGTCAGATGAGATTCTGGTAGAAGTTATTGGGGATGCGCAACCGTGACAAATGTCGACATTTGGGGTGTGGTAGCACGCCCAGCTGCAGACCCACTCCGCTCCAAATGGAATTCAAGACCCCTGTTTCTTTCTTTCGGTATAAAATTCTGGTCAGTGTGAGTTGCCGGCCAGGTGATGTAGTGGTACGCCTAGGTGCGGGCTTACACCTTGCCAGTCAACTGTGCACCCTCCCGCTTCCGGTCCTCCTGACTCTTTCTTGGCACCAGACCCAGATAGGTAGTGGGGGGGAGAGAGGGAAGTAGATGCTGCACAAGTCTGCTATCACTTTAAGGCAACTCACGCGCAAGCCTCCGTCTCTACTCTCACTCTGATGTGGAGCGCACGGAGGGCATTGTCGGAAGTAACAGTTCAACTGTCGTGGGGTGTACATATACAAATATATATATATATATATATATGATGTTAAGGGGCGCTCACCGATCGTTCATACGGAACTCACTCGTTCCGTTGTGCCTTAAGGGCTCTCTCTCGAGCCCAGCCTATATATATATATATATATATATATATATATATATACATATACAAATACACATGCCGTCTTACTTCGCTTACTATTTCCACCATTTCGTTTGCTTGATCCGATGATTGGTTCAAGTCGGGTTTCACGAAGAGAGGGCTGGGCGGATAGCCTGCACCTTGGACAGGCAACCAGAGGTGGACTCTCAGAGGGGACCAATTAACAGGTACGAGTGATTTATGTAGCCCACTTGACCGAACTCACTGCCAGCGAAAATTCTCGCTGATCATCCGAAGCACAAGCTAGCCCCGCAGCCCCGTCTTCCTGAATTCTGATTTGGGACAATCGTTGGATGAAGTAAGGAGGTTAGTGACTCAAAAGAGGGAAACTGGGGTGACCATTTCTGGCTCTTAGTCTTCACCATCCAGACACACCCAGTCTATGATATGGGACACCTGAGATTAGAAATTAGGACCTCTGATCATTGAGTCAGACGCTCTATCCGTTGAGCCACGGACCCATTCTCTCGTCGGTTGCGACTGGGAATATTAGCAGTGACAGAAGGGCTCTCATCGATCGGTTACGGGACCTGTTCGTTTCCTTGTGCTTTGCGACTCGATCTAGAGACCCGTAGGCGTTCGGACAGCGACTACTTGTACAGGTAAGGGGGTGTCGGCATTAAATAACCAGTCAGTCTACCACTGAGTCACGGGTCCTTTGTCATTTCGGTTGTGATCGGGAATGTTGAGGGACGCTCACTAATCAGGTTACGGGGCGTGCTCGGTCCGACGAGTCTTGTGACTCACTCCAGGGCCCCCATAGACAGCTTTGTTGTGGTTAAGCGGTGTGAGTGTGTGCAGTCTGAGCGCTACCATTATCAGGGCAAATCCTAGTGTTGGAAGGAGAAGAGAGAGGGCATCAGAATGAGGGGTTTAATGTAGACAGAACCCGGAGTTGTCCTCTCAGGCGGCAGTGGCCACTGGAAAAGCCCGAGAGTCCCTGGGACAGTGGTGGCAACCGCTTTTGTAGGCTCGTGGGCCTAGCTCAAGTGGTGTCCAGTTAGTGTGTAGCATTTGCTGAGGTGTGGTGTCCAGTGGCTTAGGTCGTGGTTACGGGAGGGGGGGGGGAAGGTGCGTTCAAGTGACCGCATGGGCAGCTGCGACTGTGTGGACGCAGGTATGCCCGAGCTGTCAGTCAGGTCAGCGCGTGTAGAACAGCTCACCGCAAGGGGCGAATGATCTTGAGGCAGTAAGGTCTTGAACCATGACGCCAGACCGGTCATAATGTCTGCCCGTTACAGTTTCATGGCGACTAGTAGTATCTGCAGGTCAGATGCGGTCTTTGGGAAGATAACGTAAGTAATTCGGAAAATTTTCAATGTTTTTTTTCCAGGCCATCGTCAAATTTGTTGTAAATGTGCAGGGCATTAAACCCTCTAAATGCAACCAAACTTAATACTCGTTGGGTAGCCGTTGTATGCAATCATCCTACTCAAATTGACCATCTTCTGTCCTATTTCTCCTGAAGATTTTGGTGTGCGCCAGTCAAATTCTTATGCCGACCGATGCATGAGTCATCCGAGTGCATGCCCACGAGCCATTCTCAGTCCTTCTTTGATTGGTAGAAGTCAACAACGGTAGTCCTGTCGCAAGCCTGGTTTTGCCCAGTAGCCACACTTGCCTCTCTACATCGTCAAACGACGTTCAAGACTGCGTGTGGAGACAGGTTTTCCAGTTTTAATGCTATGCCAATGCATTGGGATAGAAAGACCTGTACTTTTGCAAACAACTACCCCCTCGCATGCCTTCCCATACTGACGGGACAGGTGCTAGCTAAAGGCCCTGACACGCGTTTCGCCGATATTCTGGCGCTGCACGAAACAACCGCGCGGGGTTCGGTTCATACCCAGCGTTCTCCGTGTGCTTTCTAGTAGATACTCCAGTTTTTTTTAAATTCCAGCTTCATTCCGGCTGATTTACTTCAAACCAAAGATTTATTTTTGACGAATAAATGCAAATGTTCGACTTCAAGGTGTTCTTATACGTAAAGCAAAAGAAAAGGTTAGATGTGGTTTGGTAGCCCCATCTGATGGAGACAATACAGCTGGGGTTTGGGTTAAGGGTTAGGGCTAGGAGTTAGGGGTTATGGTTGAGGTTGAAGGTTAGGGTTGTGGGTTAGGGTTTAGGATTAGGGGTCATAGTTAGGGGTAAGGGTTAGGGTTAGTGGTTAGCGCAACGGTTTCTCAACCATTCAGAGTACAACCGTGCATTCTCAATAGCTTATTTTTTGCATACAACTACCTGACCCCGTTGCCGGTGCATTCCCCGGCTCCACCTGTGAAAAGCCCTATTACCACCGGTCCCGTATTAAAGGTGACTGGGATTTGTTTACTTCAGGTCGGGCTACATAACCACATCCAACCGGAGAAGAAGAAAAAGAAGAAGAGGAAGAAGAAGAAGAAGAAGAAGAAGAAGAAAAAGAAAAAGAAAAAGAAGAAGAAGAAGAAGAAGAAGAAGAAGAAGAAGAAGAAGAAGAAGAAGAAGAAGAAGAAGAAGAAGAAGAAGAAGAAGAAGAAGAAGAAGAAGAAGCAAAAGAGGAATAAGACGTCTGGTCGAGCATCGGCACGATTTAGTTACTTGCCTGAGACTTCGAACTCGTGCAGGCGTCCATCGCCAGAGATGGAAACAGGGCAAAGGTAGGATGAAGGACCCCACTTAACTGTCGATAGACTGCGGATCGCGTCACATGGGATTTTGTCATGGCATCCATTTGTAGACCGTTGCAGACACTTCCCATGATCTCAAGCCATAACTCAAACTCTGTTATTTTTGAAATTTGTTTTTTGTCTATTTTTAGTATAATCATTTTACCGTACTAGCAACACAGGTGCTAACTAAAAGCCCAGACAGGTGTGTTTCTCTGGTTTTGTGCCGCTGCCTGACGCAGCTGCGAGGGGTTCGATCCATCACTGGGTCCCCCCAGCTTTGCTCGTGTGTTTTCCAGTATATAATCTCCAGTCTCGCCTTGCCTCGTTTAATTTCCGAGGAAATTAATGCGCGAACATGGAGTAAATCTCCCAGAAAAGTCCTTTTCTGGCACGGTCCGGAATTTGATATGAATATTTCAGCTGAAATCTATCAGCTACTGCGAAACAACCACGTAATATTCGCAAACCGCCAACAGGCAGCCAGTAATACGCAGTCATGTAATCATTTCACCGCTAAGAGCCCAGACATGCGTGTTTCGCCGATCTTGTGCCGTTGCCTGACGCCACTGCGATGGGTTCGGCTCATCAGTGGGTCCCCCAGCCTTCCCGGGTGTTTTCTGGCAGCGGCAAAAGATTGGCGGAACACGCGTGTCTAGGCTGCTAGCCAATACCTGTGTTGTTAGTACGGCAGAACGATTACACTATTATATACTACTGGCTGCCATTTGGTGGTTTGTGAATATTACGCGGTTGTTCCGCAGTAGCTGATGCATTTCAGCTCAAACATTCATATCAAATTTCAAACCGTGCCTGAAAAGGTCTGCTCTGAGAAATTTACTCCAAGTTCGCGCATGAATTTCCTCGGAAATTAAACAAAGCATGTTTATTTTTAACTGGCGCACTCCTTTCCGCACGACAAGACTTTCGGCAGAAGGCTGAACAATTTCTGTGTTTTCTTGCATTTCGTCAGCTTTCTGTCTGGCGCGCTGCCCCACCCCTCAAACCCCCCTTACCACCATTCCCGTATGGCCCGATCCACAGTCCACCGACACTTAAGTAGTGTCCCTCACCCTACCGTTACCGAAAACAGCAACAGAACAAGCCGCATTTATAGGGGGGTATAAGCCAACCAACTGTCAATGACGCAAGTCTGGAGGTGACTGTACAGAGCTCTGTATGCCGGCGCAAAGTCAATGCATCGGTTGACTGAGTTCTCGTCCGAAGCCAGGCTCCAGTCACTCCTCGACTTGTTTTCTTTTCGACGTGGACGATTGTCTCGACGACTGAGAAGTTGAACTCATTACACCTCTGGAAGGTGTGGGTAGCCATTTGCGATACTTCGTCGCCCCGTCGCACAGTCAGCTTGCGTTCGTGAATGCCCGATCTGGGCATACATTCAGGGACGGTTCTGATACGGGATGAGATACACTGCTACATACTGCTCCTTAGCATCTAATCGCACCGTTTAAGTTCCAATGGTCCGTCTGACGCGCTTGAACCTACCACTACACGTTAAGAGTCGTAGTTTTAAAGACCTTCAACTGACGGTATTACTCAGCCCCTCTCATAGCCGAGAGCCAGGCTCAATGGTCCCAGCCGCCCAGGGCGACCAGGTCCCGTGTGACACGCTAAGACGGGTTAATTGGCCTCGTCAGCCGCTGCCCCCATCCCGTCTAGCCCCATTTGTTTTCATATTTTTTCCCCGTGGGAGCGAGGTGGGTGAGTGGGTGAGGGGGAGGGAGTACGATAGATGCTGTGCAAGTCGCTGGTGCTGCGCCAACTTGCGGGGCACGCTTACGACAGCCCAAATGTCTCGCATA